GGGCGGCGACGGCACCGGCGGCCAGTCCTCAAAGAGTAGAAGAAGAATCCAACATTATCGATGGGAAATTCACCACTCACAGCGAGTCATTGGAGAACCCTCTGGTTTCCTTAGAGTGCTTTATTTTCCTCTGAAAATGAAAACAGATTCCGGCGAGTTTCAGCCGGAAAAGAAATCCCCAATTCCCAATTGTTCATTTTTTGATTTCGCGTCGGTTTGTCTCATAATTTTTTCCCTGTTTGATTTATTTCATGCGTTGACTGATGACTGATGTAATTAACAATTACGCCACGGATTTCAATTTCACTGAAAGAACGTGGTGGTTGTGCGAAATTGAAGCTAAATTTCCATTTTGAAGTCTGAGAAAGAATGATTAATTGATTTTCATTTGCAGTCATTTCTTAATCTTTGATTGACCGAATAAGCAAACCGACGAAGGAGCAAGACAAAATCTGCCGCATAAACCACTGTTCATCACTTGATTTAAGGCCGAAGCAGGTGAACACTCGCATATAATTAATATATATATATATATATATATATTTCCATGTAAATAATATTAAAATTTTCAATGAAGTTGTTATAATTGGGTCAAATTTTACAGATGAATATCACATCACAAATATGCAATTGGAATTCAAAAATTTACTACTCTTTAGAAGAGATAGAGATATCTTAACTAATATGGTTGAAGGAAGTTTGTGTATATATTGTGATTGTGTGCATTAGTTTTTCTATTTTTGTTCAAATTCAACTCCTTACATTTGAGTCACATGAAGCTAGGCCGTAGCTAAAATACAACTCTTCGAAAAAACCAACCCGATATAATTAACTTCAAACATCAAAAACCCATATCAAACTTCTAAATCCAAATTTTTGTTAGTGACTAATTCCTATACATAATGGTAACCCAAACATACCCAACATGGTTTGAAACAAAAAATATGATTGTTGTTGTCACTTTTCTTTTAAAAGCTTAGGACAGAACAAATTTGAATGGAATGAAATTCAGATAGAGTTGGGAGGGAAAGTAGAAAACTCCATTTTTGAGGCCGTTGAGAGGCAGCTGAGCTGGTTGATGACAAAATCTTTCCCCCCTCAAAAAAAAAAAGTGTGTCGTGGTCCAACGCCAAAATGGACCAAATCCCACACACAAAATTACAAAAACTTAAAACTCTCATGGCAACTTCTTTTGGTAAGTTGAGATATGGAATGAATTTCAGGTAATTTAATTTGAGAGAGAAAAAGGTGAAACCAGATTTCTGTTTCTAATGGAATCCTATGGAACCTGAAGAATTTTGTCATTTTTAGTGCATTTCCAACGTCTTTCTCTCAAATATTCACACAACCAAAGTGGTTTTCATAGTCAAAAAGTTATAAATCCTATCCAAATAAATCAACAATAAAGCTCTACCTCATGGTAAACTCCACCAACCAATCTTACAACCACCTTAACACACTACGATTAGTAATTCAAAATATATATATATATATATATATATATATTTAAAAGATGAAATATAAACTTCAGCCAAGTATGTTAGATAGCAATTGAATTAAAAAACGTATATATTTTGATGTGCACAATATAGTACTAATCTGTATAAAATCCGTCTACCAGAAATCAAACAAAACGCTTAAGAAGTCTAAACTTGTGTGGTGTGTAAAAGAGGTTGAGAGTTAGAGATACCAGGCCCAATTTGTTCAGAGCCCATTTCACTTGAATTGGGCTGGGTTGCACGTTCAAGCCCATGTCCTTATAAAGGCCTTGGTCACATCACAGAGGTCCCCACTCCACCACGAAAGTTTTTCTTCTTTAAAGCTAACGATTTTTTAAAAATTCAGATCATCATGTAAAATATACTATATTATAAGAGAAAATATTTTATTTAATTTAAGAGAAAGGAGTAGAGATTCTAATTTTCAACCATAAAAATTCTAATGGACAAAAGTAAACATTATAAAAGCACAAATAATCTTTTTTTTTTTTTTTACTAACAAAGAAAGGAACGAGTATTGGTGGGCCCGCTCCTACCCGAAGCTCAAGAACAACAGAAAAGTTTATAGGAACTTATTTTTCCATTTATATTTTGACACATTGTTAATTAATATATTATTTTATTTAATAGTTCCACATTATTATTATGAATTGTGGCTATGAAGGAGAAAACTTTTCATATTACTGTCCAGAATATTTTCCACAGCATAGCATATATCAAATGGATGACGGTAACGGAGGTGATTTTAATATTTTGAATCAGATAGAGATGGGGGTTAAACTTAACGGAATGGTATGGTAACTGACGATGAGTAAGTTCAGAACCTCAGCTTTATTGGTGGGCCCTACTCACGTAAGGCCATGTTATTCTCGTGATTCGTAGTCTCAGACTCACTTATATCACAGATATGTTCAGAAAATTTTGAACTCAAATATTTATAATTATATATCTTATAAAATTAATTCTTAAATATAATTTTTTTCAAAAAACAAATAAAATATTATTTTTTTTACCAAAACTTACCAAGTGTGTCAATTTTTACCATAAAATTTTAATTTATTCAAATTGAACTCTGTCACCTATATTTAAATAAATATTATACCTAACTAATTCACCAACTCATTTAAACAAAAAGTAAGGTAAACATCTCCATAAAATCATTAATTTCAATAAAAATTTACACAATCAACCTTTGGATTGTATCGTTCTGTTAAAATTCACCAATTAAAAAACGAAACAGATATAAACTCACGAACTTTTAGATAGAAATAGATGTCTTAACTAGTTGAATTATATACGTACATATTTTAATGATTCTTCAAACAAGACTTATTGCACAAATTTGTAAGTTTTTGTAAGGGTAGAAATGTTTGATATTTTATCATTTTTTTAATATTTTATTTTTTAAAATAGCATATCTCTATATGGTGCTACCTACCTACCAATTATGACAATGGCCACAGATGCTTCCTCATTTCAAGTAGGCGTATACTGCATGTAACTGATGCCTTAGAAAGAATTCCAATACCATAGTAATATCTAATATGATTCTTTTTTGGGTAATATTACCGCTTATATTCGAAATTAAAAAAGTTAATATTCAATTGCTAAAATTAGGGAAAAAAAAAATTCACAGACCACTTATGTATGAACTATAGACTTGTTACACTCACATCCACAAAATATCAATGGGATCAATCATCCCCGTAAACTTACAAAATTGTTGCAATTAAGTCCAACCGATATAATACTGTTAGTGATAGATAGCAAATTGCACAAAATGCCTCTAAACCATAAGAATTGATACAACCAAACTGCCGAAATAGAGAATCACTTCAATTTAACTCAAAATATTTTATTCTATAAAATCTTAAAACTTAACCTTAAACATATTAGCTTAGATGTGATAATTCTAAAGTTTGAGTTTTTATGGTAGAATTAGAAAAACTTTGGGCAAATGATAATAATAATCAATTTTTGTAGTTTAAGAGTAGCTTGTGCAATTTACAATCTATTACAAACGGTGTTACAACGATTAAGTTTAATTGCAACAATTTTATAAATTCAGGGAGATTATTGATCAAATTGAAAATTCATGAGTATAATTTTAATAACTTAAAATGGTGTGTGATAAAATATGAATAGTAGTGATGGTCAAACAGTAGTACCAAAGGTTCCCTAATGATTCATGTCTTGATGTTACACGTGGATGCATTAATCTTGAAAAAGAAACTAGAATTAATTCAACATTTAGACACATCAACAATATTTAAAATGATATGAATTTACTAACAAGAATAATAAACAGGGTAACCATGTGGTTACATATGCACAGTGCAAGTAACTAAAATTTTTTTCACTAATTTTCTTCATTAAATTATGTAAAATTTTCCTGCCATGTAATAGGAATATAAGAGGGACAAATTTTCAACATTACAATAGCAAAATTCTATACACATTCATATTCAACTGTATCATCACTCTATATTATTTCATTCAATCGGTCATGCATTGCTTTCTACTCTTGATCATATGACTTGATAGAAATGGCAATAATTCTATATACTAAGGTCACATTCAAATTTTTGAGACTTGCACGTTCCCCTGCAAAACAGACCAAAAAGCAAAAAGGAAAAGAGGGTAGGAGGTCTGAAAAGTCTACAAACATAGGTTATTGAAAAGAACATGCCATCCCTAGGCAAGTAAAAAAGGCACAGAGAATTTTACCCACTGTTATCATTGAGCTTTCACTTCCATTTTAATTTCTACCATGAAGAAAATCACATACCCTTTTTTTAAAATCGCTATTACAAAGCTCAAAAAAGGACATTGAAGCAAATCCAGCAGAGATCCTATTTGTTGTTTGTGACATTGGAAATCTAAAATGTGGAACTTTTTCTTTCTTTTAGCCAACACTTTCGGCTTCCAACAGTAAAGTTTGTTTACCAAGAACATAAAAAGGCTTTTTCCTATCAGCTTAGCTTAAAAAGCAATATGCCATCTAGCATGCTTGGATCAAAGGCCAATGCATTTGCTCTATATTTTTACAATTCTTTTGTAAAATAATATGAGATAGAGGGCAAGATCAAAGTCAAATGGCTTAAATTTGAAAATTTTAAGAAAACTTTTATGCTATAGAGGAAGACCATCCAAAAATCCTTGTTGACAAGAGAGATTGTTGGTTTATCACAATTCTTAAAAGTGCTTCAACTAGGGCAATATTTTTTAGTCTAAAGAAACTGAAATGGACAAAAGATAGCGAAAACAGCAGAAATATAGAAGATATTCCATGAAAAAAGTTATTAAATGACAGACAAATTCTGATAAGGCAATGGGTTGCAGAGAGAATCTGCAGAAAAGGTAGAAAAAGACCAAATGGCCTTTGTACGATTGGGAAAACGATCTTGCAAGGGAATGGCAATGGCATTAATTCCCCAGCCAAATGAGATTTGAAAAAGGAGAATTTGGAATCTGGACCTTCCATACCTCCTCCAATCTGAACATCATCAACAAGCCTTTATTGGAAGGATCAGTCCCACTGTATCATCACCACCCTATGATCTAGACACGTGGCATTAGGGTCCACGAGAAATCCTATCCTATCCCCAGCTCGTGGTCGCCCATTAAAGAAACTGAATAAGACCCCACCATGAGAAAATGTCATATGGAAGACTTTAGCCTAAGAAGAAACCCAGACCATTATCCCCACTTTTTATAGGGATAATGACCCTACAGGAAGTAATTGAAAGAGGAGACAAAGGTTGCATAGTTGGCTAGAGTGACAAGTCATTAGCCAAGGGATCCCCCTATCTCCCTTTTGCAGCAGCATGTAGTTCTGCACAATGGGGGATAGCAATAAGACCCCAAGATTCTATGGGATGGAGAGAGGTGTAGAGATGAGGGGATGAGTGAGACAAAAAAGAGATTATTATGTAAATGAAAAAGTAAAAGGGCAATGAAGAGAGTGAGAGAGCTCTATGACCTAGAAATTCTATAAGGAATCAAGTTCCTCCACTTTGCCTGATATAGAAGACAAATCAATGGATAAGATGGCCAAACTTTGATTTGATTGATCAGTACAAGAGTTTTTGGTTTACTGAATCTGTTTCCATAATCACCATTCTATATACTAATTCTATTAATTTGGTTAAAGATAAAACACAACCCTAGTTTCTATATTTTGATTAGTGCTTTAATCCTTGTATTTACCTATTTTCTGTAATTTTAAAAATATAATACCAAGTTTTCAACGTTAAAAATACAATTAGATCAGTTAATATAGAATATTACTCTCTTAAATAAGTACACAAGCCAAAAATAAAAATATAAGAACTAAAATGTGTTTTGACCTACTGATTTCTATTATTCTTAACCATAAGAAGGCTCAGTAACCGTTAAATGGGGTTCTGGATTAATACTCCATTATACTTGCGAAGTGACTGAAAAACAAACGGGATTTCAGTTAAATTCCTAACGGATAAAAGTTTGGAGCGTTTTACTCCTTTCCTGTGTAAAATTTACTGATTTTTTAAGAATGTTAAAAAGGAAGTTTATTCCTTACTTTTTAAAAACGAATGAATCTATTAGGAACCGTAAAGAATGGTTAAGAAGTTAGGTGGATAATAAAATATTTTTCGCTCATGAAAGAGGTAAAGACCAAAGACATACCGTTGAATATATGCAGCTTCCTTCGTTACTTTTGCCGCAACAATATTCGATACTGATATGTCTTTGTAGGCTCTCTGCCCACTGCACCTGCTATTAGCTCTCGCCTCGCCCTCCCTCCCTCTCTGTCTTTATCGCCGTAGTTGATGGAATTTGAGCATTCCAACATGACTCCAAGGAGAAAAAGCCGACCATCATAGAGGCTCAGCAGAAACTACGCAGCTTCATTGGAAGGCCAAAAGATTACGCTTTGCTCATTCTCTTATTCTCGTTCCTCTTCTACACAAAAGGGTGAATCTTCTTTTGTTGTTTTAGTTCTGACACTCCCGCGCAAACCTCAGGTTGCAACTCTTGATGTTTGTTTCTTCGTCTGTGAATCCCCTTATAATCCTCCTCAAATACCCAGAAAAGAATCGCAGCCTGCTCTTCATTTCAAGACATTTTCGGGAAAAGAAGCAGAAATCTTGGAGTTGAGAGATTGACACTGTATAATGGGATTGGTCGGAGGCATAGAATGGTTGAATACTTACAGTAGGAAGCAATTCAGGAAACTGTTCTGGAGGATGAGAGCGGCAATGAAGAAAGCCATCAAGAACGGAGGGAAGCAACAGTTCAAGTTCCAGTATGATCCTTGCAGCTACGCTTTAAATTTTGATGATGGGTTATGCAAATTTGAAGCTGTTGCAACTGAAACACCTGCAAAACAACAGAGTTGCTCAAATTCAAATCACTCTGCAAAACAACAGAGCAGCTCAATTTCAAATCACTCTGCCATGTGGGTTTTTGTACTTACGGTGAAATCTGAGTGAACTTTCTTGATTGGCAGATTCTCTTTGCCTGTTCCTTTTCTTCTGCATTCTATTAGAAACCATCTAGTTGCACGATAAGAAGCTATGCATGCGGTATGATCTTCAATATTAATCGGTTATATTTTGATAGAAAGACTGTTCCTACAACATCTTCTGGTTTTAATCATCATCCTTGATCCACCCTTTCATTTCGGATTCTTCCGTCTTCTCATACGGCAATCTCTGTATTTAGTATTTACTAATTTACTCTCGAACACACCCCAGTTCTTGGGTAAGGAAAAGCTATATTCTAACTGTTCACCGCAAGAATTACCAGCCATTCACAATGCTGAATTGAAGAAAAGTCTTGTGACAATCGATTGCACTAGGTTGTACAGCAAATAACAGGTAGAAAGGAGGAGAAGGAATGCTGGTTGACGATGATGGAAACAGAAGGCAATACTGGAAGAAAAATGACTGTAGAATTACAATTATTCCGAGTCCACAATACTGTTCAGCTCCGAAAAATCATAAACCTCTCGGTTACAATTTTGCGCACTCTCAAAGTGAAGGGCCTTCAAGCCTAGCAATGAACCAGCTTTGCAGTATTGGTTATGAAGTTCAATCAAATCACTAATGAAATCTTCCCATGGGACAATAATCCACCTTTTGCAATTTAGTAGAAAATGGTTGATAACATCTAATGTTCCGAAAGCACATTTTAAAAGATGATTTGTAAAGATGTATTGTAAAACTGAAGTTCATTGAATTCCTTGAGTCTCGGTTTGCATTCCATTTTCAAGTTCCTAGAAAGTCCCGATGTGAATGCCAACTTCGATCATGGTGTTAAATTGAAGAGCTAAAAAGTTGACAATGACCTTCACCATATTTTCCATGTTTAAACATATCATGGACGGATGAGAATAGAATGACATTATTTATCTTCCCAGAATGGAATAATGCACAGTTTTAGAATTGAACCCACAAAAGGGAAGAATTCCTCCTTTCTTAGTTAATTTACTGAACTTTGGAATTAAGAAAATGCTTTTCCATCCTATGATTTCCATTTCCATTTCCGGCATCCAAAATACTAAAATCAACACTGCCACCATGCAAGAGCAACAAATGATTTATATTGGCCAAAGAATAAAGCATTGACACGCCTATGCATTTTGCACATACAGCAAATGAATAATAAGATGAAGTGAACTCGGTCAAGTTAAAATAAAATTCTTCTATTTGGCCCTTTTGCCAGTAAGGTCTGTTCTAGGTTTTTTCAGTCATTAAAAGCTGTTTTGGCCCAGAGTGATGATTGTCCTTCTATGCTTGAATGAGGTATTGTTGCGTCCTTTCTTTCAGGAGGGAGGTAGCGAATACTGTGGCAGATTAGTTTCTTCACTGTGTTATGGAATATTTGGTGGGAGAACAGAAGAGCTTCTTTCGTGGAAAGGGTACTTCTTGGAGGTGTGATGTGAGGATCACTTTAATACCTCTTTTTGGGTTTCTTGTAACAATTTGTTTAGGGATTTATGTCCTTTTGTTGTGATTATCAACAATTGGGGTGCGGTAATGCAATTGTTGTTCTAGTAGCCACTTTTTGGTTCATGTATCTTTGTTTATTTGTATAATCCCCTGTTCTTTCATTCCACTATATAAGAACAAAAATACTAATGGACGGCAGTAATGTCTTAATTCTTATAATATGACAGTGGTAAAAATTAGACGCCAAGTATAAAAAATCTGCAACTAATAAAATTAAAATAATAATAATAATAAAGGGAAAGAAACAACCTTCATAGGGAAACCATACTAACCTTTGGCATGATTCTGGCTGGTAAGGACAGCAGAATTCACCTTGCTATCTTTAAGCGTTGTAGCATGGGTCCAAGGAGGTCATCACAAAGGGTACCTTTAGAAACATCTACAGAAGCAAGCAGTGCAATTGTTCTATCCTACTCTACCATAAAACTTTTCTGTAACAAGAAAGAGGAGAGTACTTTATACAAAAAAAATTACCTCAAATATTTCACAAATAAGTAAATGTGAATCGAGAGCACAAGAGACTCGATAGGTGCAAGGTCGTCCTGAGCAAACTCGATGGCTTCTTCAACTCTTCAGTTCCTGATTAACTCTATCGTCCTTTGCTGTGGAGGTGGAAAAACAATTTTGGATTTGTGTCCAATATCTGCATGTAGAATTTGACTTACATTAGTAAGAGAGTAGAGAAAACAAATATTTCTTTCTTCGTTCTAGGAAGTAAAAAAGAACGCAAAATATTAATTAATTGCTGACTGTCGTGATTACCACAACCCAGCCCATGGGTGAAAATGACATGAAAAAGTGCTGTAGCACTAGAGCATACACAAAAGAGATGCTTTTCATCCGCAGCATGAAGAATCTAATCCATGAACCAAATAACATAGTAGTATGATAGAATAATAGTGAATGCATAATTCATTTTCAAGTCAAAAGTGGAATTGTGAGAAATAAAATGTGATGCCTAAAATAAAAGTTGAATGATTAGAGCAATAAATGGACTTCATGATCTCTTCCTATAAAGGCGTACGCTTCTCACACCTCAACTCAAAAGGAATATCATATGAAGCCCGTGAGCCTATTAGGTTGTGACTTGTGACAACAGCAAAAGGTATACCTTTGTTTTTTATAACGGAGAATTGGAGCTTAGCACCACCATACCTGAGGGTACCCGTGCCTACCCCAAGATCCCGACCCAGGAGACATCTATCGATTTTTGTATTAAGCTCGCCCGAAGGTTAGAACTTCTAAGTCAATGTGACCAAGAGATCTTAAGCCTTTACCAACGGGGACCGCCCCTTTTTGTATTAAGAAGGTATACCATTTCATTATTATTTTATGCATGGAAGTGCTTTCAAGGAGTCTGTGGTTCATAGTCGACAAAAAAATGAACACATATTTCATGCACAAGGACAGGAATATCATATACAATACATTAAGAGAGCAATGCTACCTAAAATTGATATGTATGTCATTAACATATACTATGGATGGTATTCTATATCTAAATAATCTCAACAAATTTTAAGAACACTTCATACCTCAGGATTCAAGTCTTCAACTTTCTCGGCTGCATTTTCCAAATTACAATATCATTACCTTCTGTTCATGTAAAAGGAGATACCTGCTTAGCAAGTAGTAAATTGTAGTTAGATAGAGCCATTGAAGAAAAGACAGAAACTACCCAATAAAAATGAAACAATATAGAGTGAATAGACTGTTCATCAAATGCAATTGAAGGATACACTTTGTCCAAATTCCATCCAGAACTTATGAGCTACATTAGCATGCCCCTCTGCATAACAACTCACCAACTTTTTCATGTCCCAATTCTAACCTTTACTCATTAAGATCTTTTTTCCTCATCTTCCCTCATAAATAATTTTCTTAACGAGCCTTAAGACAAAAAAAATACTATAAATAATACTTGAACCATGTAGATAATCTCCAGCATTCCACCTCAGTCCTAGCCCTTATACTCCACGAATGCTGACAAATAGAAAGGGAAGGTCATTTCCATTAACGTGAAGAAAATAAATAAATAACTTCCCTACTACGGCTATTATACTCCTCTGAGCTCAGAGAAATTTTCTGGGCAAAAGTTCAATCGAAGTAAATTCATTGCCCTAAACACTAAATATTCTTCTTCTCTTGTTTTAATTATAATTTTAATATCTTGAGGTAATACCAAATACCAAAATGCTAAAGAGACGTCAATGGCTAATATGCCAACCGATACGCATTGGTGGAGACAAGAGTCCACATCTTTAGCGCTTTCATTCTTCTATTTTTTGTCCCCCCACCCCACCTCTGCACGGGCAAATCTTGTAGCCCCGTTCCCCTTTCAATCCCATTAGCTGTATCGAACCTTCAATTATTTAAGCTCAACAATGGAATGGCAAGTGAAGAATTACGATTGCACCAACCTCTTGTAGATGATCAATCAGAGTCGGTAACTGCACTGCACTCAACGCCACGTAAGTTTCGCAATTACTTCCCCAAGCCTCTGCCCTGATAAATTTCATTGACATTGAAGATCCAGGAGGTAGTTGAAGAATTGGTAAAAGTAAGCAACAAAGTGTAGAATTGGCAATATGAGCTCTAAATAATCCTTTACGAATCAAGAGTTTCTGACCATTCTTTATTAGAAAGGATATATTACCGATATCAATTGTTTAATCTCTGCCTTGGAATAGCAAATGAAGAATTACCATTACTCCAATCTTCTGTAGATGATCAATCAAAGTCGGGAACTGTGACATAAGTGCAGCGCATTCAACGCTGTCGAAATTTCGCAATCACTTCCCCAAGCCTCCACCCTAATAAATTTCACAAAAGACAACTTCCTCAAAAAACCCCATGAAATAGCTTCGAACTTCAAAAACCGAGCCCAATAAAAATTCTAATCGGCTTGCTTCAGATCTCCTATTCTTTCTCTCTTCCGGATAAAGAATTCAAGAGTGATTCACGGAGATAAAAGAGTGGCAGTGTGGAGAATCCGAATAAAAAAATCATTCAACAAGTTTTTTCCCGGGAAAATCGTAAGGAAAAAGTACCTTCAATCGCAAACATCTGTGAACAATCGGAACACGTTTTAACTTTTAGACGGAGTTTCAAGTCGACGGTCTTAGACTTGAGAGTCTTCTTTTCACCAACGGACCGCTTTCGGGCCCGCGTTCCGGGTTTGACTGGTCAACGATTTCGGCCCACTATGAAATTTCGGGTCTTCGGGCCTAGGCCAACCCGTATCGAACTGGTTCGCATTGATGGGGATTTATACAAAAGTCAAAACCATAATCATCGAATTTTTAAATAATTTTAATTATTTACCTATCCTCTCATAACTAAAAAAAATTAAGAGATATTTCACTCCATACCTAAAATTAATATGTATTTTAAAATGAGTCACCGTTTCTTTTTTTGACATAGTATAATTTTAACTTTTCTTAGTACGGTTTACATCCCATCTAAGTTGGATTATATTATATGAATTATGCTATTTTTATAAAATTTATACTATATTTAAGAATATATAATTATTTTAGAAAGATATTTAGGTGATAACTATGGAGCATACATCTTAGGTTCATCACCATCAAAATTTTTAACATATAAGATAAAAAATAAAAAATAGAGATAAATTTTTTAAAAAATAATGAGCTGTCAATTTTCAATGATGATCATTATAGAAATATGGGCTACCTTTTTTGTCCCAATTTAAATTTAAGTTATTTTTAGTTATGAAAGTATTCATTGTATTTTATTGATTACTTAATAAATATTTATAATTATAACTAAAAGTTTTGTAGTGGCGATAGAAGATGTATTCGCTATCCTTGTTCTCACTTTCGCACCTCCTTACTTAACCTATATTTTGTCATTCTTAGTTATATTTGGTACAATTATGATTAATATTCTTATACCGGTTAAATGTATTATCTGTCGTCAAAAACACATTTAAATAAATTTGATTATAATATATTTTGTTTAAGACAAGATCACCGAGTACAACTATATTATATAGAGTTCAAATCACAAAATTAGAATAAAACTATTTTTTAAAATAAGCAAAGGATAAGTATAGCACATGCTTTATTTTCTACCTACATACATATTATAATGTTGATCCATATTTCAAAAATAAATATAATGTTAATTAATCTCTACATATACTTTATCGCTTGTTACAATAGTTTCTTTTTCCTTTTCTACGTGTGTATTTTTTCTCATTAATTACTTTGTCAACTCTATAAATATTTACAATTAAAAAAAGACATTTATAAATTATAATATAAGATGAAAAACATGATATATGACAATTACTGTTGAGCTATTTTCGCTTTTGACAAATATTTTTATTAAATTAAGCTACTATATAATTACTTTTCACATAGATACTCATAATCAATGTTTCAAATTTCAAGCGACATGTCGACGTGTTGAGCACCTCGACATTGACACAGGGAATAATGTCGTTTTTCCCCAATGTCGACATGTCGAGGAAATGCCGTTTTTTTTAAACTTATAATCTATAAATTTTTTTTTGTTTAATAATTTGAAAAGATATGTTCACTAGTGGTGTCGATGGATATTCGATTAAATAATTTGAAAATATATGTCCAATTTATTTAGGTGAGATAACATAGGAACAAAAATTTGAAATGGACTTAGTTTTTTTTTTTTCATCTCTTTACCCAAATCTCCAAGCAAATAAGTAAATATGACGAAAGATGAGCAAATTTTTTTCAAAACAAATTAAGGAGACTATTCAAATTTGGCTCAGTATTATATATTTATTTGAATTAAAAGAAAAATCAGTTTTTATATTGGTTAAATTATATCACCGTTATTTATATATAATAAATTTTATACTTATTTCACATATCTTGTTTAATTATGTAATTAAAGATTATATTTGATTAGATATTATCGATAAAACATAATCAATCATGAATAACTCTAATTTACTAATTCAAATAATTTACATGTAAGTATATACGTGATTTTGTTATGACGTTATTATCGTAATGACATTTTTATAAGTATATTATTGATATATTTATATATATATGATAGTCAAAATTGAACAATTATAAACTAATTAGGCTACCATTAAAGTCTTATTTACTAATTCAAAAAATTTACATCAATATCTACAATTTTCGTGTTTTTTTTCGAAATATCAATCGACATCGACATTTTGAATAACATTATTCCTGATACAAAGAAATGTTTCTCTCGGTCACTATGGGAACGTAATTATTGGATAAGTTATTTAATAAGGTTCGAACAACACGTTTATAGCTAACTAGTTGTTAATTCAAATTCAAATCGATTTGAATTTGAAGGGCAATTCAGTACTGCTCTCCTCCCCTCACTCTCTCCATGTATCTTTTTTTTTTCTCCACGTCCCAAATACAAGTTGTAATTATTACGATTTAACAGAGAGACAAGAAGAAAAATACAGGAAATTAAAGGAGTGTTTTCTCGAATAAATTTTATGCTTCATCATCGAAGGACTATACGTGAATTTGTGGTTTTTCACCTTTTTATTATTTTTTTCTTTTGTCTATTTTTGGCCTTAAATAACTATATAGTGCAAGTTATACGTATTTATGTTACGCGTTGAGGGAAAAAAAAGAGAGGAAAAGGAAGTCAAACGACATAAAATGTATATTGATTAGACAGCCTCCAAAATTTCATGTTACACATGTTGAATGCAACAAAAGAGGGTTTGATGTTACTTGGCTTTACACGTTTCACTATTTCAGTGTTGTTATCACTATATCAAGACAGCGTGATTAATTTCATCTTGTCAAAATTCTTAATCGACTATTTGTGGGTCACAGACTTCTCGTTATTCTCGTCGTAAATCAATTTTTCTTAAAAAAAGTAAATAACATATTTAGTATTTTTGTCAAAGCGAACATAGCTCAACGATAATTGTATTGTAATTGACGTATATTTTCAACGAAGAGGTTGTGAGTTCGATCCCCACTTCCACATGTTGTACTAAAAAAAACATATTTAGTATTTGTACTCTGGTCGAAGTAATGCTTTAGTCCTTCAACCTTATTAAAATGTAGTGAAAGTTTCTTATTATATAGATCGATAAAGTAATAGTCAATCGGAATGTTACTTAATTAGTTAATGTATATTATTGATGGGTTTTAGTTGATCTTGACAGGATTAATTTTTTACGACAAATATAAATCATTACAAATTTTACGTTACATAGACTAAATCGTTAAATACAAAAGTTTGTAAATTAAATCTTTACAAATTTTAAATTATATAGACTACTATATTTGTTACATGCTAAGATTTAAAGATTAATTTGTTACTTTAATAAAAGTATAAAGACCAAATATATTGGTTAAAGACATATCATATCATGGATCAATCGAAGGTATGGAAATTTCCACCACATAATTAAAGAAAAAACACACCCAGTGTATTATTTGTTTTGTTTTTCTTCTCGAGAATACCAAATGTATTGTTTTTAGTTTTAAAGAAAACATATTTTTGTTAATATTAATAATATTATCCATCTGCTGTCCAATTGTGATACGAAGAACACAATAAAAATATTTTTTTTAAAAAAATAAATATAATAATACTTCATTTTGTACAACATGTGGGGTGAATATCAAACTCACAATCTTTTAGTATGCCTTATCCGTTAAACCACGCACACGTGACAAATATATATATATATATATATATATATATATATATATATATATTAATTGTTCTTAGATTATCTAATTTATGATATAATTCAACATCAATAAATATAACATAAACATGTGATATAATTACATATATTCAAATTCATAATTAACCAGCTTCATTCATTGATATAATTGCCCTGGAACCCTCCACGAGACTTGTTAATTATCAGTATAAGAAAGCGTTAAATTTTCATGAAAACATGACCATAAATGATAAACCTACTAAATTTCATTTGAAATATAATATTTTTTTATACAAGAAATTGAGGTAGGAGAGACTTTGGATACTTCAACATAATGAATAGATGTCTATTAAACTATGTTTGTGTTGACTTCATTTGAAGTATAACTGTGTCTTACGGATTGAGAGAAAAATATACTATACATACATGTCAATCGATAGTAAAATTTGATTTATTTGGGCCTTGTTTTGTTAAAAATAATGGGTCCTAAAATTTGTATATTTCCTTTTTGTCGAAACTAGTAGGTGAGTGTAATAAACCATAGTAAAACTGAAATACTTATCCAAATTGAAGATTTAATTGGATAAATTCATCTCTCATTTGATAATCATTTAATTTATATATCTTTCGTCGTTTTTTCAAAACTTTGTTTGTATTCACGATTTATTTGTTTTTTTTATATTTCTTAAAAACGTATTTAAATTTTTAACCAAAGATAATTGTTTTAAATTTTCAAAATGCTAACTTAGATTAAAAAACAGTAGACCATCAAACAAATAATATACGTTTAATTTTTAAAATAAAAAATAATTATAAAATTAAGCCTTGAAAATCTAAGATAAAATAAAAAGAATTGGCTAATTGCCAAATTTAGAGATGAATTTTGAGAAGAAAAAAAAAAGATCTTTCGTTTTAAAAAGGCAAAAATGGTTTCAAAATATTGTGAAGGGAAGGCGCCGACTTGCAGAGCCTGCCGCAGCACGTGCCGCATGCGGGATAAAAAGTCAAACGTGGCCAACTTTCATCTTTAATCGTCTTTTTTTATTTTTTGTAAAGAAGACGCGGGAGGAGGACGAGGACCGACAATATAAAGAATTTGCCCTACCCACTGCCGTTTGCCAACAGCCAACTGGTCCGTTCCTCTTCCTCTGTTTGGTCTTTTATTTCTTTATTTCACCACTGTCGGGCTACGTTTTATTTCCTTAAACTTTAAAACTCCGTTATTCTTTAATTATTCGTTTAATAACCACCCCTCTCACATTCAACCGCATTATAATTTATGATGGTTTAATTTAATAATTGAATCAATCATCATAATATATCTCTTTAACACTCCAACGTTAATTATTTTGGTGAACATCAACCTAATTCAGTAATTAAGGTATTTTTGTTTTTAAAAAAATGGAATTAAGGTATTTTATTCTTTGCATTTATTGTACTACAAAAAAATTGTTATTTTATTCTCATCTTAATTACTCCACTTATTTTACCATGTTCAATGAAAGTTGTTCAAAATAATTTGATGGAAATTTTATTATGTGCCTAAAAAACAAATTATATTGCTTTAATTACATATTAATTATCAATATTAAGTTATATTTTAAAATCAATTGACAATATGAGAAATACTTTTGTTAGATCTCTTATCTTATCATTAATGATTACAAATTTAAAATATGATAATATTATGATATTTATTGAAATATATTTCTCCTACAATTTCTTAAATATTTGTATACTCATTCATCAATTGATTATTTTACTGTATATATATCTGTAAATAAAAGGGAGGGAGCAGAAATTGAAACCAAACTGATATGTTAAACTAATTAGACTTTATTATTATTATTATTATTATTTTTTAAGACTGTTCTTAATTCTACGTATTTAAGCTATGAAATGATATGTTAAGAGATAATAAAGGAGGAATGATATATGGATTTTCCAACATATACGACGAAATTACATAAACAATTTAAAAATAGATATTTATTTTTGGTTAAATAACGATTTAGTTTGTGGACTTTTACATTTGTAATAATTTAGTCCTCAAACTATCTTACGTAACAAGTTAGTCCTAGTGACTTTAAATTTATAATAATTTAGTCTTTATCATAACAAATTTTGTTAAATTTCTTATACAATTTAGATCAATAAATCAATGAAGGGTCAAATGTGTTTATTAATTACAAAGACTAAATCGTTATAAATCGATACTTAATTTTGACAACAAATTTTGCGGTAGGGACTAAATTGTTAAAAATTTTAAACTATAAATACTAAATTGTTACGTACTAAAATATAGGGATTAAATTGTTTCAAATTTAAACGTACAATGACTAAATTGTTACAAGCTAAAATTTATGGACTAATTATTACTTTAGCAAAAATATAGAGACCATATTTTTTTTTTTAACTTTTATTTTTAGATCAAGTTGAAAGTTTGAAATTTTTTTAAAATACAAAAATTAAATCAAACTTAATCACATTGATGTTATAATGTGGAAAAGAAAAAGGGAAAATTGTAACATTTTTCAAACTACATATTAATTTGATGTGATTTGTGCAATTTGTCTCAATCTATTTTTCCATCTACCTACTTATGATTTTTACTTGATATATATTATAGATTATTGATATTAGTTAAACTATAATATTCTTGTAAAAGTTCATACGGAAGTGTTTTAAAAACATAATATATATATATATATATATATATATTAAGACAATATGCGAGCTGGGTGGGAATCGAATTAACAAGATATATACCAATTATCCGTGCTCGTTTTAGCGTAAAATATATATTTAAAGTTAGTTGAATAGAGTTGTTTAGTAAATTATTATAGATATTAATTTATTGTTGAGTATTGGCATAACATCCAGCAAAAGAAAAGAAAACGTTGGTAATGTTTACTAACTTTCAATATAATTGAATAGATAGTCTATTACATATAAATCATCAGTGAAAAAAAGAAAAAGAAAAGGTTTAGAAATATACTTCGCCAAATTCCATAGGGTACAGTTATTATTATTATTATTGTTTTGAGCTGAATGAACATTGAATGTTTAGACTTCTTATCTTTATATAATTAATTAATGTCTTAAATATGATTATCTATCTTTTAAAGTTAAACCCTACTGAGAAAGTCATTAAATACAAATCTTATTATTATTTTTTAGTACTCCTTATGCATTTGAAAAAAACAAACAAATCCACTTAATAATTTATCACCCACCGAAACTTAAAAGTAATCAAACAAAAGTCATCAGACATATAATATCTATTTCAAAACATTTATAATAAATTTTTATTATGGGAGTCGGGCAGGGGATTGGCTCCGAGGGTAGGTAGAGTCAAATGTGAAGGGATCATGCAAATACATAGGCCCTTTCTCTTTTGGATGAATGGAATGATTAAGAAGGCGCTTTCCGATCAACAGTCCCTCGGAGCGAGGGGTTAGACATGTAGTATGGGCCATCTGACTTCCAGTCATGTGTTGTATGACTCCGTGAAGCGAATGAAAGGAAGTAGACGGAGAAAGCTCGATGTCAACAACTTATATAGTGGTCGGCCGACAGAAAGTTCGCTAAGCTTTGCTTCCTTCTCCCGTCCATTTTTGAATTCGAGTCTACCACTTTTTTTTTTTTTTTAAGATATACCCTTCAGAAGGTTGATTAATAACTCTTAAAACTAAAGAAAATACCTTTTCGAAATAAGGAGGTAATAAACAAAAAAAAATATATTTTTTTGATCCGGAAAGCAAAAATTTATTTGGAAAGAAGTGACGTCACAAAGGAATTTAAGTGGAAATAAATCTTATTCTCTTAAATTGGCAGTAAAAAAGGAAGTAGCCTGTGGCGTGCATGAATGAGATATAAATCAAAAGTAAAGAAGCGAAGCCACTTTATGTAGGAATATTTGTTACCGTTATCTTCGCCGTTGGGGGTGGGAATTGTGAAGGCGCGATGGATGGCTAATGGAAAAAGGAAAAAGGAAAAAAAAAATAAATAAAAGAAATAAAGAAATAAAAATAAAAAGGGAAAAAGAGAATCTGGAGTGCGGTGTTTTATTTACTTCTCTCACGGCTTTTCAAAGTTTCAGACGACATAAAAGAAGCGAAACGAGAAAAAAAAAGGAAAAAAAGAAAAATTAATGTCAGCTTGAAAATCCACGAAATAGTCCTCAATTTGCGCACTCTTGTGAAACCCTATTTAAAATTACGGAATCCGTGGTCTTCACGATTCGATCCGCGACTTTGTCTTCTCCTCTCTCTCTCTTTCTACTCCATCCGAAATTGGGGAGGAAAAGTCCCACCCGAAGTTTCTCAGAATTTTACTTCCTTTTAGTAGATGAATCCCTCAGCTTCTTTTGTAGTTCCTGGTGAATTCGGGTAAGTGAATGAAGCGGGCTCTCGTGTGAATCGCGGGTGAGGTTTTAGAAATTGTTATAAAGGATTATCAATCATCGGTTCTGCTTCCGATTCGGTGGCTGGAAGACAACGTTGGCCGGCGGTAGTTGTTGGTTTCTTCGATCATGTTGATGGCGGATGAGGGTTCTAATTTTCCCCTGCAGTTTGGTGCGGATGGCGATGACTTCGGCGAAGCTATGTCCATTGACTTCGAAACATTTATTCATATTCTGAACGAGGATCTGAATCCTATGCAGGTAGGTTTGTCGCCGCTGATTATAGGGGATTGGGGATTTCTTTTTAAATGAAATTAGGGGTCTTGGATGCTTGGGAAACTGTAGCAGTTGCAATTCCCCCTCTAGGTGGCACCCTTTAGAATGAGTTGGTGCTTTAAGCGTATGATCAGTGCTAACAGCTGATTCTCCCTAAAATTTCGAGTAAACGTGCTAACTTCATATTACAGAGCACCGTTTATCTTCATCTAAGGTGAAATAATGGAGAAAGCACTAGTTAAAGCTTTATGTCTCTGAATCGTTTGGCTTACAATATTATCGGTAGAACGACATCTCGTATGTAATATTATCAACTTCAGTTTAGCTAGTTCAAAACTTGTGATTTACTGAAATCATTTGGGTGTGATATTGTCAGTTAACGTACTCTAGAAACGTTATTCCGGTCATTCTGTCCACTGGGTCACTTGAAATCTCGCATCCAATGACTTATATGAAATTGAGACATGGTGTTGTAATATTATCATCATTGTGTCATTTATTTCGTGGGAATTTGTTAAAAGAGCGCAAAATTCATATCTCCACTTCTTTTCGTTTATAGGCCATCCTTTAAGTAATTTTTAAACTGGAAATTGATGAAAGTACTGTTAGACGTTTGACCTCTAAGCATAGTGCAGAAATACGGTGATACCAATGGACATTGTATTTAGCTAGATTTTTTTCAATTTGAATGTTCTGTTTGCTAACAGGTTGCCTACAGAATCTTTATATTATTTCTCACTAGGCGCTTTCTCTTGGATAACTTTTTATAAACATTGCAGAGTAAGCCAGAGGATTTGTCATCAAATAATGTATCGACTAGCCAACCTGCTTTTGATGCTTCCAACCAAGAAAATTTCCAACTGCAGAACGGTTAGTATGAATGAATACCTCACCGCTACTATTCTTTATTCTTATATGAAAATAGATTTAGTTTTTCTTATAATGCTCAAAGTTGGAGGATGTTATAATCTTTAAGGAATCGTCACTTTAATTTTATGTATACCATCCACGGCTAGATTGGTCTAAAGTTTTAAAAACTTAAAGGTGCACCTCAAGGAGTTATTTTGGCTTAACCTCCAGTCACATTTTGCTCTTTGTACAGAATAAGGACTTCTTATTCTAGGGTGGGGATAAGGTTAGATTTATTTCTGGCTTAGTAATTTGGCTCTTAACAATTTGGTCTGGTCACCTTCTTTGTAAAAAATTAGTTTCTTGTAATGATTAGTCATTGACTTCAAAAGGTGAGCAGTTAAATAGTGCTATTTTATTTAGATGAATAACTCAAACAATCTAAAAAAAACACGTAGAATTGAAAATTGAATGAGTATATTATTTAACACCCTCAGAATAACAAAACGTAATGTAATTATTCAAATACATTTCTTAATGCTTGAGATTTAATCGTTACACATTTCTGTAAGTGAATTAAATTGTAACAAAGAAGCAAGGTTTAAAATATTACCAGAGCCAACTTACAAAAACTAGACATGTGGTTTTATACCCTTGATTACTCCCATTTACAGAGATTGTTTGAAGTCTTGCAAAGATTATCATTCTTCATTTTTCCTTTGTCTAGTGTTAAAATAATGTTATTTCAAAGTTCCAAGGGTGATTCTCCATCCAGAGAAGATGAAAAGTTTCATCTCAGGAAACAAGTTTTTATTAGTTTTTCCTGAAGGGACTCAAGAAACGAGTTTTTAGAATAGATGCTTCTGCTGTTGGAGTGAACACTTTTCAGTTTTCATGTTTTAGACCATGGCTCTTGGCCCTTAGCTTTATCTCGACTTTATGAGGGGAAAGTACTATTGTTGACAGATGTGAGTGGTTATTTGTAATTGGATTAAGAACTAACCTTTCTCTAGTGAAATAAAGTGTTTACTCTGCCAATCATTGCTTTTGCAGTTGGTCTCATTTTCAGAAGCTGGCATTTTCACACTGATATGTTGTTTTGACAATTGCAGATATATCTCATGGCTTCATGGAAGATATAGATGTAACTTTGAGAAATCGTGGCATTTTGAATGAAAAGGGCACAGAAACCTTGAGATCCTCAGAAAATAATTCATGTGCTTCAGTGGAGTTGCCTTTGTTTGATGCAGAGCACTCTTCAAAAAAAGTGGTTCCTATTGAGTCCATAGTAGACCAAAGTTTTGATTTTGCAACTGACGTTGCGGCCCCTTATTCAGCTATGCCATACTGGACTACAGCTGAGCAACCTTTTCTTGCTTCTTCTCAATATTATTTTCCGAGTGAGTATGATTCTCAAGTTGTTTCTGGAAAAGGGGACATGACAATGGACATGATGCATGAAGGAGAGTTTCCATCCAATAGCCTGTGCTCAAGTAATATAATGAATTTGTATGCGCAGGGTGCTACGGGTCATAAATCAGTTTCAAGAGATTCAGTCTCAAAGGATTTAATTCTTGATGGTTACTCAAATGTAAAGGGATGGAACCAGAATTATGATAGTGGGAATTTTATTTCATCACTCGATGGGCATTATCCATTTCATGCTGACGACCTTCCTATTGATCCGGCATCAATGGGGCTCCCGATGTCTACTGGGTTGAATTCATCCTGCACAGATCTTGTTGATCAAGTGAAGAATGAAACGATGGATTCACTGGTTGAATCTAGTAGTGGGCCATGGCAATCTATCAAGGTGGAGAACGCGTTTTATGCATCTGACAGAGCTTTCAATTCTCAAGATATGGCCTGTGGAACATCCAGCAGACCTAGTGATGGCGGGATCCAGAATTTATATATATCTGACCAATATTCTCCCAATGGTCATTCATCCAATTTAAGCAATCAGACTTTAGCTTTCATCAAGGATGGTGAAGATTGTAAACTAACTCTATGTAGGAGTGGTGTTGACCATCCACAAGTCAGCCCTGAATCAACTCACAGTAATTTGTCAGACAAGGCCCATTTGGAGGATGATCCAGATATCTGTATAATTGAAGATATGAGTCATCCGGCACCATCAAACCGATCTCTAGTGGTTGGAAACTCTATTATTGCTTCACAAGGTTCTATAGTCAGTGGTTCTCCGAACTATGTTGGAATGGGATTAGGAAGCATGAGACATAAAGCAAAAGACATAGACATCTTAAAAGTTGCATTACAGGTTAGTTCCGTATAGTTTTGTTGCTGCAAGTTGTAACATGTGCGGAAATAATGTTCTTGAATGTAAATAAAACTCTATTCCTAGATTTTTTTAAAAACTATTTCTCTCTCAATCTTGTTTATTCTACACAGACATCTGAATTACATGTTAGTTCCTGTTGAGTTTTGTTTCTGCAAGTTGCAGAAATAATGTTCTTGAATGTAAATGAAAATCTATTCCTAGGTCTTTTTAACAATTTCTCTCTATATCTTGTTTACTCTATATGTACTGTCGATTTTGTTAATACTTTTCTTAAATAACTAAATAGATCCTTCACAATGTTGAAAATTATGGAAATATGTTGCCAATTTGAAGCAGCAGGTTTAATCTGAAGAAAAAAATTTGAAGCTGAACAGTGAAATTTTTTGAGACCGCACTGCAGTTTACTCCCCCTATTTTGTAATTTCATAAATCAACGGAATTGTTTCATTAAAAAAGAAATCAAATAGAAATTTGATATATGGTCATAGCTTTCTTCAACAGTTTCATAATCAGTTGATTACTTACTGAAACAGTAGTTAGGTTAGGCTATCAGATGCTTTTGAGTTCTGCCATGGACACGTACATTGTTAAATTTTATACACGTTCTTGAGTACAAAAATTTTGAAGTTAATGATTTGTCGTCCTTACTATATCTGATTTTGGTTGTGTACATTCTTGAGTACAAAAGGGTTGGCATGCTTGTGGTAAAACTTTAACGTACTCCTGTATCATTCTCTGATGACTTTGTTTATATGATGGAGAAGTTGATAAGACTCAGGTTATCGAGCATTGCAGGATCTTTCTCAGCCGAAATCAGAAACTAGTCCACCTGATGGTGTTTTAGAAGTTCCTCTTTTAAGGCATCAGGTTGCCTATTCTTTTTTAAACACGTTTTTCCTTATTTATATTTATTTGTAATATGTTGTTCTATTATTAACTTTAACTGATGTCTGGACAGAGAATTGCTTTGTCTTGGATGGTTCAGAAGGAGACATCTAGTGTACCTTGCTCGGGGGGAATTCTTGCAGATGATCAGGTTTCAACTCTCAGAACTTGGTTGATATCTAGAGGTAAATAGATTTTATTTTCTCTGCTGTATTGACATGGTGGGCCACTTTCAGGGATTGGGGAAAACAATATCGACAATTGCTTTAATACTAAAGGAAAGGCCTCCCCCTATTAGAGCTTGCCCTAATGTTAGACATGATGAGTTGGAGACTTTAAATTTGGATGACGATGATGATATACTTCCTGAGAATGATGGGAAAAAACAAGAATTTACTCATCAAGTTCCACCAAGTAACTTAACAATAAGCAAGAGCACTTCAGAACAAGCTAAAGGCAGGCCAGCAGCTGGAACTCTCGTTGTTTGTCCAACAAGTGTATTAAGGCAATGGGCTGATGAATTGCATAATAAGGTTTCTGGTAAAGCTAATCTGTCAGTGCTTGTATACCATGGAAGTAGTCGAACTAAGGATCCTTGTGAGCTCGCCAAATATGATGTTGTTCTAACAACGTATTCAATTGTGAGCATGGAGGTACCCAAGCAGTCTGGCGTTGATGAAGAAGATGATGAGAAACGTAATACAGAGGATCATGCTATTCTACCCATGCAATTTTCTTCAAGCAAGAAAAGAAAAAACTTCTCTGGTTCTGATAGGAAACATTCAAAGAGCAAGAAGGGAGTGGACAATGAAATTTTTGAGTCAGTTGCCCGCCCTCTTGCCAAAGTGAGGTGGTTCCGAGTAGTATTGGATGAGGCCCAGAGTATTAAGAATCACAAAACACAGGTAGCTAGGGCCTGTTGGGGCCTGCGGGCAAAACGTAGATGGTGCTTGTCGGGAACTCCTATTCAAAATGCTATAGATGACCTCTATAGCTATTTTAGGTTTCTCAGATACGATCCCTATGCTGCATATAAATCATTCTGTTCAGCAATTAAGGTGCCAATCAACAAGAATCCATCCAAAGGATACAAAAAACTTCAAGCCATTTTAAGGACAATAATGTTACGTCGCACAAAAGGTGAGATCACTTGAAACTTCCGTGTACTGATTTCATGTGGTTCAAAGATTTGGAATTATTTACAATAATAATTGGCTGTGTGTGCCCGTGGTTTTGTATTATTTTTCATTTATCTTAATGAAAAGTGCAATTTCCTATCAAAATAAATAAATAAATTGTCTTTGGTTTTGCCCGAAAGTTGGAACACATCTTTCTTTCCTTCTCACTACTTTCAAATTTTACTATCTTTTCTTTCCTTCTCGCTACTCTAAAATTTGACTGAAGAATTAGATTCATATTTTTTCTCTAGGGTGAGGAAGACTTCCCTTGACCATGGCCCGACTCAAATGACCTCTCAACTTATTTTATAGATTACCATTTAGTCTTTCTGATTTTTGGTGCCTGATGTGACTGGAAATTTCTCCAGTTCAACCATGTACAGGCAATCTTTTTTTTTTTAAAATGGAAAATAACTTGATGATGTGATCGAATCACGGAAAAATGATCGGCTAGAACTCTTCTCTGTTGTCCTTGTGAGTTTTCTTTAGAGTGTTTTAAGGAATTGGGTCTTATGGATGGCGGATTTGCCAGCTTTATTTTAAATTCAATATAGTTGAGATTATCTACGAGGCTTATCACTTACTATCAATTGTCTTATCATTTTGATGATGTAAAGAATTGTAACTCATTTCCCGAGTTTGTTTGTTCTGGTTTAGCTTATTCCCGTGACCTACTTGGTTCAACTTGATTCCAGTTACCTACTTTGTAAAATGTTACATTTAGATATTATTCATCACATAGTTTCCTTTTTTGTAATTTGTTAGGCAATTTCATTAGGTTTCATTTGTGCCATGTGGTGGGTTATGCTTCGACCATGTTTCTTGATTCTATTTGAATTTGCACTCATTTTTGGTATTGTATGAGCTCGCCAATTTAACTTAGATCATTCCCCCGGTACTTATGTTGTAGGCACACTTCTTGATGGGCAACCTATTGTTGCATTGCCACCTAAATTTGTGGAACTGAAAAAGGTGGATTTTACTGAGGAAGAACGTGATTTCTACTCTAAATTGGAGGCTGACTCAAGGGCTCAGTATGAAGTATGTTTTCCTGAAACGATATTATGTATAGTTTTCTTCGCATTCCCTGTATGCATTGAACTTCAGTTACGATAGCGAATTACCTTCTGCTCCTTTCTAATATTACTAAGTAATAAAAATCTTCTCCAGGAATATGCAGCTGCTGGCACTGTTAAACAAAATTATGTCAACATATTACTGATGCTTTTGCGCCTTCGACAAGCTTGTGATCACCCTCTTCTTGTTAAACCTTATGACTCTAAATCATTATGGAGATCTTCAGTTGACGTGGCTAAGAAGCTTCCTCGGGATAAACAGATTTCCTTGCTGAATTGTTTGGAAGCATCATTGGCTATTTGTGGCATCTGTAATGTATACCTTCTACACATTTATTCCCTTCAACGTGATTTATTTTTCCATGGATTTGCACTGTATGTTGTGTGGTTTAGTACATGTGGAATTATGTATCACATATTTAGTTCAAACCACCTGTTTAATTGCTAGTTATCAGGAAGACAATAACTTAACAGCTATTGTGACCTTTTGCTAAATGTACAAAATATTGAATTTGGATCTCCTTTTTTCCCCTCTAAATTTGAACATAAATTGAGGTATTCTGGACCTTGGCTTTGTTGTCTCAAAAATGATGTAGCTGATTGGGCTCTGACTAATGCTTTTATAATAATGTAAGAGATATATGCAGGTTTATAATATAATACTCATGTGAGAAGGATCCTTTTGGCCTCCCTTTATGACTACAGTGTTTCTGATATCTGTGCATTTCCCTTCTGTATACCTCATCGTTTTAATGAAATGTTTCTGTTCCTTGTTTTTTTTAGAGCTTTTCCTATATTGTCATATATTTGAAACTGGTAAGGTTAAGTATAAATACAAGCAATATGTTTAACATTCTCCATTTTTTACTTGCACTCATGGATATATATTCTTATACCTCCATTTACTTCCTTTGATCAATGCAAACACTTTGCTTATATCTCAATGTTCTCTTTGTTCTCCTTCTATCTATCCTTTTGTCTTGTCAGAGATTTTTTATACTCAAAACTTCTGTGGTCATTTTTGTAGGATCCACCTGAAGATGAGGTTGTCTCAGAGTGTGGTCATGTATTCTGCAAGCAATGCATTTTTGAGCACCTCTCTGGTGATGACAGTCAGTGTCCTACAGCAGGATGCAAAGTTCGTCTTAATGTATCTTTATTGTTTCCCAAGTCCGCATTATGCAATTCTCACTCTGATCAGCTTGGTGAGGAAAATTCTATGGTTAGCTCTGGTTCTATTGTTGGTGACTCAATGGTGCCCTCTTCAGATATGTACGAGTCTTCTAAAATTAGAGCTGCTCTTGAGGTTCTGTTGTCATTGGCTAAACCAAAGGACTCTTCTGCAAGAAACAGCCCTGCCCAGCCTGCTCTTGATGGAGCCAGTAAGAAATTAACAGATGCTCCATCTGCAGAACTGCATGTAGAAGTTCCCGAGTATCAAGATTCAGCTGTGAACAAAAGTTCTTGCGAATCAAGTAAAATAGGCGGAGAGAAAGCTATAGTCTTTTCTCAGTGGACGGGAATGTTAGATTTGCTTGAAGCTTGTCTAAAAAATTCATCCATTCAGTACAGAAGACTTGATGGTACCATGTCAGTTCTTGCTAGAGATAAAGCAGTCAAGGATTTTAACAATCTTCCGGAGGTTTGTCAAATGCGGTGGCCCTGTACTTTAATATTATTTTAATAATCTCACTTCAGTAGAGCATACTGGATGATTTTTCCCCTTATTTGTTGATAGGAACAATGCACGTTGTTTTTACTTCACTACTTGTTTTACATGTTGATATATCTATGGTTCACTAATTTCCCTTTCCTTTTAGGTGTCAGTCATGATTATGTCTTTGAAAGCTGCCAGCCTTGGTCTAAACATGATTGTTGCCTGTCATGTTCTTCTGTTGGACCTTTGGTGGAATCCTACAACTGAAGATCAAGCAATTGATAGAGCACATCGAATCGGGCAAACCCGTCCTGTTACAGTGCTGAGATTAACTGTAAGGGATACAGTTGAGGATCGTATATTAGCCCTTCAGGTACCAAATATATGTTGCATTTAATTGTTGGTTTGAAAAGCTCTGGATCATTCTTTGATCTAGTTTAAATCCCCATGAATTTAACATGCATGCCCTGTTCCTGCACAAAGTTGTTGATAATGAGGAAAATTGTTTTATGATCTGAACTTCCGCCTGCCATTTCTGTGGGTCCATTAATTTGATTATTTATTCAATATATTCATGTACTTCTGTGCAGCAAAAGAAAAGAGAGATGGTTTCATCTGCATTCGGAGAAGACGAAGCAGGCGGTCGACAAACTCGTCTGACAGTAGAAGACCTGAACTACCTTTTTATGATGTGATGATAGATACAAGATTATTCTTTGGAAATGGCTGATTTAGGCTAACATATGCATGCACATATCATATCAAGTTTTGGGTGGCGAAGGCTGGCTGCATTTGGCTCTAATCTTACAAAGTAAGTTGTCCAACCATATTTACATTCTTTGGGCAATTTACGTCACTTTGACCAGAAGATTTGACGACCGAGCTCCTTTTACCAGAAGAAGACTTGTGAATAGCATTTATAGAAATCTTTGAAATTCCATTTTTGCCCACTGATTCTTTTGTCACTCCACTCACAATTTCATCCCTTTGTTGACTTTTCTTTACATCCCATTCCCTTAGTAGTATATTCCACAGGTTGTAAAGATTAGAAATTTATAGGTAGGAAAGAAAATTAAATCTGTTAAAGACTCTTTTTTTCAAGTGTAAAGATATAGATAGTATTATCTTGCTTCTCTCCTTCTATTGTGTTTATACAAGTTACCATAATTTAATAGCAAATTTTATTCTATTTTGTAGAAAATTTTATTGGTTTTTAATTATGCTTTATACAAACGAAACGTTACAATATTGAATATAGAAGTGCTAGACGTTTTATTTTTATTATTATTATTCTTTTGATTTTACTATAAAGTTTTACACAAATTGAATCAAACCAATAATTTTAAATGGTTCCCAAACAAAGTTGACTATGAAAATGTAACATGGCAGTCTGCAGTTGGATATTTTAAATAATGTGTTAATTTTTATTAATTTTATATACATTTTCAACTTGACATTTTTTTTCTTTCTCCTTTCTATTTTTAAAATTCCCTCTCTCTCCCCCCTGTCACAGTGATAAATGAAGACACGCTTTATCTTATCTTCGTGTTCCCTATTTCAACCGCTAGAGCTGCACCTCACTTACTTAAACAACGGCAGTTTTTTATTTTTTTTTAGGTAATGTCAGTTAATCATGTTCGCACATTATTTTAATTACCGACGGAGAGAGAGGAAAAAAAAAATTAAAATGAAGTGTTTTCAAATAAGTTAAAAATCAATACTCTACTATTTTCTATTTTCTATTTCTCATTCTTTTTCTTTTTCCTTTCCTCAAGGCTCAACACTTCTCTTCTTTCTTCCTCACTTCTTTTCTTTTTCAAGTTTTTGTTTTATTTTTTTCTCTTTTTCGAAATAAGGGTTTAAAGTCGTCTGTAGAAACACTTGTATATAATAATAAAATCCTAATATAAAAAAAATTGTTTCTTAATATAAAAAAAATCATTTATTTGAATAAAATCCTAATTTGTATATAATAATAATAATAATAAAATCAATTTCTTTTTAAAACAGAATCTTATTTAATTAAAACTTTACATTTTTAACCAAAAAAAATTACATTAAAACTTAAGTTATTTTTAACCAAAACAATTAAAAATTAAACTTAATACATTGTGCAGTTTCTATTTCGGTTCTACCATAAAATCACGGAAACCTTGAACACCCCTACCTCATATCATACATAAATTTTTAAGAATGGTTAGAATTGGGTACTGATAAACTATCTTTATTGAATTTTAAAGAAAGTTACCGAACCGGATCGGCCGGCCACTGTTTGAACACGAATTCCAAGCCATAGTAAATTAAAAAAAGAGTAATCAAAAGTAGAATTAAAAGTCCCAACAGAAATTGGGAGTTTCAGAATTTCTTAATGAAGTCATGGATGTGAGCACAGGTTTCATGGACCCTTTCTTGGTTGATGAAGTGACAAGTATCTTCCATCACCACTGCTTCCTCCAGAAATGGCACGTCCCTTTTGAACCCCCCCTTGTGGATGTATTCCTTGGCCCCTTTGAAATGGTAAGTTAGATCTGAATCCCCCACGATGAACTTCGCAGGCACCTGGATCTGTGCTCCCGTCCATGGCGCCGTCAGCTCCCAGCTTCTGCAACAACAACATTAATGCAACTTACAACAGAAGACATACGTGAGTTATTCTTCTCATTATCAATTAATTTTACCGGTCGAAAGCGCGATAGTAGTTGAGTGGACCAGTGAAGCCTTTGCGTTTATATTTGTCAGCATAATAGTTGATATCTTGTTCGGTCAGCCAAGAAGGGAGTTTGGCGGCGTTATTCTGTTCGTGCATGAATAAAGGATTTGTGCTTCTATTAGAGAATATTCCCTTGAACAGCTCCGCAGGGTCCATGTACCCAAAAACTTGCTCTACCAATCCTGGAATCTGTTAGAATTAATAATAATAATAATTAAATGATCATATGCTGATCTGGGTGGAGAAGATCACAGGGGAAAGAAGAAGAAGAAGAAGAATTGACCTTAAACTTGCACATGTAGAAATCATCACCGTAGGCCGCTCTGTAAGACTCGATGAGAGAAATTTTGGGATTTCTGGGGAAGAACTCGACGCTGAGAGCGACCAAGGCCTTGATCCTGTCGGGCCTGAAGAGGGAGAAGTACCAGGCCACGTAGGCTCCCCAGTCGTGGCCGACCAGGTAGACCTTGTCGATTCCGAGCTCGTCCAAGACGCCGACTAAGTCGCCGACGAGATGGAAGGCGGTGTAAGACTCGGGAGAGGGCGGGGAGTCGGTGTCGCCGTAGCCGCGGAGGTCCGGCGCAATGGCCCGGTAACCTACGGAGGAGAGGTACAGGAGGTGGTGCCGCCACGAGTACCACAGCTCCGGGAAGCCATGGAGGAGAAGAACCACAGGGCCTGTGCCTATGGACGCAACATGCATTTTGATGCCATTCGTGTTTATCATCTGATGCTCGATCGCCTCCATCGCCCCGCGCCGCGCCTCTATCTTCTTTTCCTTTTCACTTTCTCTTTCCCTTGCTCTCTACTCGAGTCGAATTTCGTAAAACATTCACCTACCCGGATTTGAACACAGTATCTTCTTTCGTGATATCACCCCTCGATTTAAGAGATTAAATTGATGGATTTAATAAATTTAATTCATTATTTATATGAATTCTTTTGAACTATCATTAAACATCTAACAATTAAGTGAGAAAAATACAAAAATAATAATTTTTTTCTTAAAAAATAATGAGTTGTCAAATTTATTAGGAAGTGAGAACGATTTGATCATTGAGTCAAGTTTTGGAAGGAACTCCTTCATTAAGAATGTAAAATTACTTAACTGTGTTGTGAAGAGTTACTTTTTCGTCTTTTAAGCTTTTGCCAAAATTATATATATCGACGTCGTCGTGAATCTCGCGCCTCTTTCTTCAATTATTTAATCCTTTGTATTTTGTTTGATAGTACACGAATCAACAACACATTTTATCTGCAAAACGACAAATGGAATTGCCTTGATCTTTTCATTATTATTTTTTTTCCTGTTTTAAACAACTACCACAACATGTCAACGCCTATTATCTGCCGTTTCTGAAACTGAAAATTTTTATTTCAAGATCGTGAATTTGAAATAGGTATATGAACAAGAGGGAGAAAATGTTATATTTTTAATATAATAGATGCAAAATTATCGTCGGCCAACATCTATTTATAATTTAAACACTTATATCATCTCTTATATCAATGGTTCGATTACTTGGACACGATCTCTAAGATAGGTTAAACTCATCCGAAATTTAACTTTAAAGTTTTCTAGTGGGATTCATCCATTGTCGTCTTAATTATTAACCTCTAATGTTGAAAGTGTTAAATAATGCATTGACTAATTCAAATTTTGCACCTATCAACCAAACAAACAAGAGGTACTGAAATAGTTATTTTGTCATTCAAAGATTAAAAAATATAGAAATTTAAAAAAAAAAAAAATCTAACATCTTACTAAACAAGATGATTAGGAAGTTTCCAAAAGCTTGGATTGCAAGTAAAATTTTCCTCCAGTCCTTTTTTCCTAGACAACATTGTCCTTCATGTTTTTCACTTCAAGTGATCAAGCAAGGATTGAAGCGAAGTGATATTTGGGACATATAGAATCATCTTTCACATTTTTGTTATTGAAAAACAACTTTGAAATAGAGTCCTTTGTTTGGATTATTTTTTTTCTAACGATATAGATATAGAGATGATCAAGATTGAAATTTCTGACCTTTTGATCGAGAATATATGTCTCAATAATTTAACCTATATTTAAGTTGACGAAAAATTCTTTTGTTAAGCCAATAATATGATTAACAAAATAAATAAAGAAAACAAGATAAAGCGAATATCTAGACTTCACATGAACTAATCGTGAGTTATAACGTTGAGAAAAAAATAAGCTTTTGGTGTTTGAAATTTCTCCAACATATCAAGTTTCGAAATATTGTCTGATTTTAGCTTAACTAGACTATAATTAATCGGTTTTAATCATTGTATCTAAAAATATAATTAAATATATTTATGAAAAATATTAGCAAGAATTCAAATTTGATAAAAAAAAAAAAAA